AATCTTTGCATGCCTCAGTTGCAATTGTCAAAATGGTATTTCACTGATCTCTACGTTTATTGTAATATAGAATCAGCCTAAGGTGTTGCTTGCATAAAATCCAATAAAATAAAATATACACCATACACATTTATTGAAATCATAAACATGTCTTGAATTAACCTACAGAAGTTTTCCAAATCAATATGATGCACTGATTCATCGAGTAACTGCTTGAGCACACACGTTTTGCAAGCTAGTTCTCAATGCTACAGGAACCCAGCTTTTAGGCATTCTAAAAGTCCAGTCACTAATTTCTTGACTGGACTTCACAAAGAACCAATAATGCACTATGAAGTAGCCAACAATATTTTGCTTAGCATAACAATCAGGCAGCCAAGCCTCCCAGAGACTCTGGAGTACTTTCTTCCATGAAAACTAACAAAACTGGGTTCCAAAAATCCGGACGATCACTAGATGACAGCAACAAGATGCAGAGAGACCACAATCTCCACCCTGTTCTCTAGGGTCCATATCAAGTTTTGAGGCCGGATAGAGTAGGCCGAATCTAATTCCCATACATGGCATAATGGAAGACAGGCTCATGGAAGAAAGAGGGGTGGGGAGGGGGGTTGGCGGTTTTTTACACGATGTATTTCCAGAGACATTTGTGCATGATGATTGCCTACATGAAACTCTGGGACTTTGTACTGGCACAGCTCCGGCCGCAGCTGCTCTTCCTTACTCGGATCGGCGTTTGCTGCGATCCTAAAAGGCAAAGAACGGCGGTATGAATCTTGTGTCCGCCCCTCGTCCTTAGCCAATGGGTGGGGGCTTGAAAGACGGTTGGCGCGAATTCCAGCGGTTGAGTCCCATGAATGGCCAATGAGCGTGGCCCTAGAACGGCGGCGTGGGTGGGCGGGGCGAAGCGGATCAGACCCCGCCCTACCCCTTATTCCTCGCACAGGCCTTGGAAAGCTTGGCAGCAACGGCGCCGGCCGCCATTTCCCTCGCCCCCTGCGGTGACGGCGGGGCGGCATCAGCACTGACGTGAGGCGACGCGCGGGCTCGCCCGGCCCAATCCCTCTTCCCCGCCTGCTTTTGCTGTGACGGGGGCGCCACGTACTCTGGTGAGTCGAGGAGGGGGCGGAGACACGTCGGGTGTGTGTATGTGTGTCTGTGTGTAAGGCGGTCTGTCGTTTGGAGGCAGTGGCGGAGGGCTGGCTCTCGGGCAGGAGAAGGGGCTGTTGTCGAGGACTCGAAGAAGGGAGAGACAGCCGGCCGGGCAAAAGAGGAGTCAGGGCTCTTTAAACGGGGGTCGGAGTTCGCCTTAATACTGGAACTTAATCCGACCGGCGTACTCTTCGCCGAGGGGAAAACTTCAAATCCAAAGGGATTTGCGCATGTGCAAAGGGGGTTCTTCCTTATTTACCAGTTTAGCTTTGTGGAACGTGCTGCTGTTCGGCAGCGACAATTACCATATTTAGAGACTGTGAGTTTAATGGAATTAGGGTGTTTAAAAAGCATAGTGCACTTTAGTATTCTGTTTGCTTGAGTGCTCGGTCTACTTTGATCTTGTATCAACGTGTGTAGGTTTGCAGTGCATCACTATCATTCTGAAACTGGTGGCTTCCAAGCATGTGGCCAACAGTTCCTAACTTCCCCCAATTAATGCTGGCCGAGCTGACAAAAGTTCTTGATCTTTGGCACCCTTATGCTGCTTAGGGGGTGTCGCCCAAAGTCTCTCAAAGTAGCTCATTTAGTATGTTTTAAGCCTGTTATATTCCCAGCTCTCCTGTCTCAGATTAATTGTTGCAATGATTAATTATAGTGAAGTATGTGATAAGCATATTGCCTTGAATTTCTTGGGAAAAGATGAAAAGTAAATCCCAATAAATACTTGGCTAGCCAGAAGATCTACCATATTTGGAGAACACCAATTGGGGATAGTAGGTATTGTCTGTGTTTGCACAAAGCACTAACTGATTGTATTTTGTTAATATACCTGGTTTGTTGAGTTGCCCAAAATATAACAAGTCATAAACTAACCACAGTTGCTAGACATAAATGTAACAAGGCACAAATAAATCGTTTGGCTATTGGGTTGTGACAAATAGCCCCAAATCAGCTTCAGTTTGCCCGCATAAATTGTGTTAAACCATTGTTCTCATTGTATAACTTGATTTTGATTGGAGAGAGAGAGCATGATTTAAACAGCTCTAATCTCTCTAATTTTTAGGATTAAATTCTAAAATTACTTTAAAAGAAAGAGGATATAAAAATGCTCCATTCCTGCAGTTGAATGTACTGCATATATTAGAAGTTTGAAGAATAAAGCATTTATTAACATATTGGTTAATTTAATAAAGGAAATATGTTAGCATTGTTTTGTGCAAATTTTTATTTTAGTTTCATTTTCAGAAATGATGTGTTACAACCCAATGCACTTATTGCTACATTCCATAGTATAGCGTATTTAACTTTTTGTCAACTATTATGAAAATTTGGTTTCTTTGCAATTCTGTATGAGTGTTTCACATATAAGCTGAAGGAGCTACCAAGAAACACAGGAAAGAAATAAAGCTGGAGGAAGGAAGTTGTAAAAAGAGCAAATATCTTCTGTGCAGATTTTGAAATAATTGAGAAGGGCTTCCCTGTTAAAAGAAGGTTGGTAGTCCCAACAAAAAAAGAATCAATTGTAGCTATCATACACACACATGCTGAGCCATCTAATCTCATCGCAGACTACATTTGGAAGGCTTCTGCCCATTTAGAAACCTGTTTGTAATAATTTTGAGTTTCAGTCAAGGTGATTAAAAGTGTCCTTTTTCAGAACTACAGTATATTTCAATATTTGCTTTTGTATTGCACTTATTAACATGCTCTGTTCTCACCCTGTGCAACTTTGACCTTTTAGCAAATGATAGAATATCATGTTCAGTAAAATTAAGCTCCTAAAATGGAAGAAGTAGCTTGTTAGTCTGCTTTTTTATTGGAGTTTTTGAATGCAAATTTAAGTACCCATTATACTAGAGAAAAAAGTCACAATTGCATAGTTTTAAGACTTGCTATCCCCAAATAGAATAGTGTCACTGGGAGAAGAAAGATGTGTGATCTCAGGATACGAAGTAGATTTCTTTGAAAAAAAATATTTATAAATCCATAGTTCTTTGAAAAAAGGGGTCTTTTTTAAACTAATAGAAAAATTGGAGAATGGTTTCTTTGATTGAAACTGGCAGGCGAAAATACTTTGCTGCAGGATGTATGCTTGCAACTGACCCATCTGTTTAGTAATTAGTATTAGTTGCAGTGGGGGGGGGGGTTGCAAATACAAAACATAAACATACAGCCAAAAATACATAAAGAATCCACAGATTAACGAAAACAGAATAAAGTTAAATTAACCAAATCAAACTATAACCAAACCAAGATGGTATTTTGAGCAGCTTCCAGAAGGCAATGTGGGATCCAACCAGATATTGATTGGGATGCTATTCCAAAGAACTGGTGCCACTCAATAAAACCTTTTTTTAAATATGATTAAATTGTAAACATATTTGTTTTATTTACTAGCAGTAGTATCCATGCATAATTTAGCAACTTCGTTGAATCATAAATGATCCCATTCTATTTTCAGGCTTGACAATACTTTCTATAAAATTTTAAGTTGTATGTAGATTTCTATTGGCAACATTTTTCCTTCCTAATTGAGGAACTGTATATTTTTACAATAAAAATTCATTTCTAAGTTTAAGGATCCTCTTTATGTTAAAATACTTCTAATCTTTGCATGGGCATGTTGGAATCTTAAGATCATCATTGGACTTCACTGATGTTCCATAGGTCGGTCTGTGTATCTGTATTAACTGCATGTGTTTTCTTACCTGGGCAAATGAGCATGCAATATTTACCAAATATGCCAAAAGGTTTGGTGGTCAAACTGCACTGAAATTGCTGAGTTGCAAGCATTTCCAAAAAGTGCTTCAACTACTGTTTTTATAAAAGTACCTTTTTAAAAAGTTTTATTTTTTTCTCCTCCTTTCAAAGGGTTCTCTATAAAACTTACAAAGTCTCCTGCATTAGCACAAAAGATTCTCATTTATTCCTTTTCCTTTCTATCCTAAATACTATGTAATATTGTGAATGTAAGTTGCCATAGCAATAGTTATGACATCACAAACAGAAGATAACTTCATTGCAAGATTCACTAGAAGAGCGTGGTCTGGAGAAGGAAGAAGTTCTTTTTAAAAAAATTCAATCATGAGCAAGTGTAGCAAAAAACAGCATGCCAGAATTAATATAAGGTAGCCATTATATTTTTAGCTATCACTAGAAGATGCTTCTGCATAGCAGGCTTGTGTCCTGTATTACAGTAATAGTTTCGATAAAGGGAATGCAGCCAAGCATTTGTTACCAATCTCATTTAGAGGAAGTGTGTGAGAGTGTGGGTATATGTGTTGACTCAAGTGTTTTAAATTTGGCTTAGTTTCAGCAATACATTATGTTTGAACTTAAACAGTAATTTTTAATCTCTTATTTGGGAGTTCGAATCTTTTTCTGGGAGATGCTGAATAAATTACAGCAACATGGATTTATATATTCAGAATACATTTATCTAGCTTTACAAGTACCAAGAAGAGATTCTCTACCATTCTAATGGAATGCATCTCATTACCTAGGCCTTACACACACAAAAAACCCCATGTCTATTTTTAAAGTAGAATTGTGGAAGTGAAATGGATTCCATAATATATCAAGCAGTTTTTCATATATAAAATGGAGCCTCACATATTGTAATTACTTAATTGGTATGAAGTAAGCAAATGATACTTTTTTATAGATTGAAAATAGGGAGTGCTTTAGATTTTGAGAAATAGGAATGCAAGTTTGACACATGAATTTAAGCAGCAGTAAAACTACGGACAATCTTATGTCTTAAGTTGTCAATTCCTACAACTCCACAGCCAATTTAGTAATTGACTATGCTGACTGGGAATTATGGGAGTCAAAAGACCAGCACCTCTGGAGTTTGGCTGCGTTAGATGCTACATTTGACTTGTAACATGTGGAGGTAAGCTTCAACCATATTTTAAAAAAACGGTGGGGTGAAATATTATGAACAGTTGTTAACAAAGATGTAGCCCAAATGAAGTTCTAATATGTGAGAGAATCTACAATGAAGACCACTATGACAAACAAGAATGATTTAGAGTACTACTTAAAACAATATTGCAGAAGCTAAAGTGAATACTTATCATTTGAGTGGTTTGTGCATATGTACAATTCCTGGATCATAAGTTATAACAATTGTTTGTGAATTAAATGATATTTCTCTGGCTGAAAGTATTATATTAACTATCTAAATATTATTTAGTCGGCATCTAACTATAGCATTCTGCAGTGATTTTTATCATTATGGACATTAGCTATTTTCTATAATTTGACTGAAAGTGATTTTTTTCTACTTTGAAAGTACAGTAATATAAAACATGCCAGGAGTATAAACCAAGTATACAGTGTAAATAAAAAATAAGAATTTAAAATGGATATGGTCAAACAACAGCCAAAAGCCCCTTGTTCATAGTTCTACCTGATTCCAAGAAATAATAGTTTCAATTTTGGTTCCACATCTCTTAAGTTTGAAAGTATGTAGTGCTAAGTTACTCTGTCATTCCTAGCCAAGCCCTGATGCTCCCTCTATAAACTATGCTTTCCCAGAAATAAATGTTTGCTGCCAAAGTTTATATTGACTTCTAAATAACAAATCATTTATAAATGAATACAACAAAAAAGCAATAATAGGATCTCACAGGCAGCAATATTCTAAATGCAACTAATTCATATCTACAATATTTCAGACCAATTTTGTAATTATATCAACTTTTCAAAAGAAGTGTGTAAATGTGCATTATAACATTTCCAAGAATTTTTTAATACTTGGCAAAAAACAGTTAATTGCTTATCAAAACACACAACAGTTATTGCTTAAAGTAAAATGAAGCTCCAGTGAACAATAAAAATGTGATGAAATTGGCCTGTTCTGCATCTCAAAGAATACATCTCTGCCTCAATTATAAGATTGTGCCTGAAAGATGTTTTTTCTAGGGAAGAAAAATAAGGCCTCAGCTTTCTGCAAAGTTTAAGTCACCTTTCTTTAACCTCCATATGTGATAGATGCAACTCACCTACTTCTCTATCTAAATGCTTGATCAAGACTCCCGTTATCCACAGCTTTCATGTTCAGTGCTTATTGAAACTACAGTTATAGTTCTACGTAATATATTGAAGCAAGTTAGCAAGATAGAATACACTGGACACATCCATGGAAACAGTTGACTCTTGTATTCATGCACATTTATAAGTTACAAAGTTTTTGTGGTATATTTTATGTAACAGAATTTGAAATAAACAAATGAGCAGAAGAGTTATTGAATATTTCATATCTCCCTTGCATTTAGACAAATGACCATGGAAACAGTTGAACCACAAGATGGCAGTGCAACAGACTCTATTACAGAAAGTGATTCTGCTAACATGCAATCCCCAATCGGCCAAAATCAGATCTCCACTATAGCTCAAGTAATATGAAATGTTCTGTTTATTTTTTCAACACCATTATTCATTGATAATATGAAGAGTAATATGAAATCATTGCTATGTTGGTATTAAGAAAAAACCCTCTGGACTTACTCTACGTTTTGAGTAGCACTTTTGCTCAGTATATAAATGGATATTTACTGAATCCAATAGTACTAGCCATTTTTAAAAGCAGAAATTCTTATTAATATAAACAATCTTATAAAGCCTTAAACAGCCTGGGAATAAGATTGGTCTGCATAACTCTTAGGTGAGAAAGGACCATAGTGATAAATTAAAAATCTTCCTAAGATGCAAAGGAATACGTGGGGCATAAATCAGCTGTTTGGTGACAGGCAAAAGGGTAGCAGCACAAGAGCTGGAAGTGATGTTGAGACCCTGAGGTAATTAGACACGCTTGGTAGCCTGTTTTTTAGGGCAAAAGCAAGTGTGTTGACTTTGAAAACGTCAGTGGCCCATCCAAAATTGTTTGTTGAACTCATGTTTTACAGAGATGGATGAGTTTTATTCCAGATATAATTAACCTGGCATGAGATCACCTTTGGAGGCTCTTCGTAGTAAAGCAGTTGCCTACAAAGACAGGAGTCTTCTTAGTTATCACACCCTGCTTACATAAATCCTTTCTTATGGGGATAAACCATCTTCTTCCAATTCAGCTCATGCCATTCTTTACCCATGTCATGTTTAAGAGTCAGCAGCTCCTGCATACATGCTTCTTTTTCAATTGCTAAAACATTTCATTTTACCCTGCAATGAAGTATCCGTGAACATATAGCTTGGCATAATTTCTAAAGCAGCAATGTAGTAATACCCAAAGATATTTTGGCCTTTAAATATTAAGGAATCAGAAAATAGTTTGCAATTAGTATTTTTTGGACACAGATTTATTTGAATTCCAGCAGCCTCAAAATACATTTTTTAAATCTAAATGAAAGAGGAAGGAGGGAGTGAAAGTATATGTCTTCAAAACAGGTTCTAAACTTTTAAACATGATGACATCTTAAATTACAAGAAATGGGTATTCTTATGTGCTGCTATCTGTCTGATGCTAAAAATTAAATAGAAGCTACTGACATATTGATCTGTCAACTTTTTCATATGCTTTGACAATATTCAGATACAATTATTGTCATGCAACTCTAAAGTATTACTGAGACAATCATAATACATTGTTAATATTAATAAATATTAAGATAACATAGTAAATCAAAGTGGAATTAAGCCGAGAAGCTCGTGGCTGTTTTTGGCAAGTTGTTACTTCTCAACCTTCTGTTTGTTAAAATTGACATGATCTTGCAATGGTGCAGAAGAATAACACTATAGCAACTTTGTAGAAAGATAGGAAAACAGTTGTATCTTGGGCAAAATTCTACCTAATTGTATCTTATGTGAGACTGCATTTTCTTTTGCTTGAAAGAAAGAGGTTACATTTTTAATAATAACATCTCTGATCATGCTTAGTGAATAATGCTCATAATAGGAAAGCAGAAGTACCGCCCAGATGATATTACATCTGCTTTTCAATACCATAAAATTGTCAGTATAAGCCTAAATATATATTTGTATTATAAAAGAGCCTATTCTGTGTTAAAAGTGGAAATGTAAGTGAAGCCTAAGGATTACTTTGTCTGATGATGAATGTTGAGAGCTAGCTACTTAAGCTGTTTTCATGGTATGCTTTATTTACCTCAATAGGTTTCTGTAGCAGGATCAACAACTGGAAGAGGATCTCCCTCTGTAACTGTAGTGCAGTTCCCTTCTGGTCAAACTGTCCACGTACAGGGAGTGATTCAAGCTACACAGTCTTCGGTAATTCAGTCACCACAGTTGCAATCTGTTCAGGTTAGTTGTGTCCCCTTTATTAACTTTTCCTTGGTTTAATGGACTATTTATTTTTGTGCCAACACAAGAGTGAACAGAAGATCCCATATTTAAAGCCAGTGGATAAGTGTACTTATTTCTCTAGTTGCCAACATAATACTACTGGATGCACTTTTTAAAAAATTGTAATGCTTTGACCCTAAATTTTTGTTTCTAGCTCAAAGAAGTGCTTTGAACTCAAAACATGCCAATTACAGGTTTCAAACATCTGCTTCAAAACATGCATCGAATATGTTTTGAATTTAGAATGATGTTATTCAAAGCATTTTGCACGCTTTGATATCATGCTTTGATATCATGCTTCAGGTTCCTTTTTAAAAATATGATAACTGCAAATCAGAAGAGAGTGTTAGACAGTTCCTTTTCCATCTTTTTTCCTAAATGGACAGCATTTTATTAATATTTTAAGTATCCATTTCTAATAATGGATTAGACTACAGAAAACTGAAAATGTGTTCATGTAGATATTGATGAGATTGTCAAAAAGCATTCAGTTTTGCTTTCTTTATAAAACATGTTTTAGTTCTCTTGGTTCTGGACAGGTGTTCAGAACAGTTAGTAAACATTGTAGTAAGTACTTTTGATGTCAATATTTTATCACTTCATAGTATCCCTTGCTCACTTGTCTACCATTAGTCCTTGACTTATGACACAAAAATTGGGCAAATGTTTCCCAATATCTCCAGTGTAACCAGGGATTGCTACTATTGCTAATATTAAATCACAGTTAAATTATGAATACTGGCATTAGATGCTAGGATATAAATAGAACTTGTGTGGGATGAGAATTGCAAAAATGAGCAGGAAATATTTGGAGGACAGGAAGATGAATAGGAATCTGTAGAGAGAAGAGAATGATAAGGAAAAGCAATGTTTTAACTAAAATTGTTCTTGACCTATACAGGTAGTCCTTGACTTAACAATAATCACCTCCACAAAACTACTTAGGATCTGGTTTTGAAATTACAGTCACTGCAGCACCCCTGTGGTCTTTGGCCCTTAAGACCAATCACAAGGATGCTGAAGAGCTTCGCCCCACCTTTTGCAAAACCTTTCCCCCAATTCTATCCCCACAAGCCTTGGCCTACTTCCCACATGATCTTTTCCATTCCTGCCACCAATCACATATCTTTTACTATATATCTCCTTTTGGAAGTTCTGGAGCTCAGGTTGGGAAGTGGCTGCTGTGTCCCCCTGTGTCTGTAGGCAGCAAGCCTGTGTTCCAGAAGCAATTACCCTTTTCAGAGTGGCTGTGGTAAATTGTGGTGCTCCTTTCTGGAACAGAGGAATATGGTCTAGGGATGGAGTAATTTGCTCTTCTCAGCACTTGCAATCCTGCTGCTTAGCAAGTGAGTTGGCTGTGCTTGCCTTCATTGCATTGAAGTCTGCTGCTCACTTTCACGGTCCCTAAGCCTGCTGTGTGCAAATCTGCTGCTCGGCTGCTGCATTGGTCATTAGGTGATAGTATCACATGGTCACTTCATTTAACGGCTGTCAATACTTTCAGCCATAATGGGGCAGCCTCCATTATAATCACTGGTCTATGATTACCTGTAATTTGTTACCCTGTGTGTTCTTTTAATTTCTCATCTTTAAAAACCCTCTGGCAATTACCATTGGATTCTGGAATTAATGTAATCTAGCTTCTTTTGTAATCCTCTTTCATGCCTATCCATTAATAACCCTGCTGTCTTGGTTAGATGTCTATAGTCAGGTTTGACATAATAAGTCAAAATGTGGATTACTCATTGATTTTGTTACTGTGAATTGTGCCATTGTTGGTACAATTGATAACAATGGTTTCTTTCATGGGATTGGCTTGTTTTGAACCCTGAGTCAAAATCAAACTGGTATGTATATTTGTGTGTCTGTGTGCGGGCACGCTCATGACACATTAATCAGGCCTATTTACTCATCTACTTCAAAATGTAACTTCTAAAACTTTTCTAGCATTGTTGACTATGTTTTATCTCCTTCACTCTTCCTTTGCTTTCCTGTTCCACTCTATTCAACCTTTTCTACTGGTCCTCCCCGCCTCCTCTCATTCCATGAAACTTGGTTGTCACTGCCATTTCTGCCCTTCAGGATCTACCTGTCTGTCTGTCTCTGTCTCTGTCTCTCTCTCTTCATAGAAAAAATTGATACAGTTCATAGCAAGAATATAGAAGAATTGTGGACACAATTGTGTCCACACAACTGTGAATGAGATTTGAAACAAGTCAAGCATACAATCAGTTCTTGAATATGTTCTTCAAAACTACTCCATCTGTCTGTACATTATAAGAGTCTGTTAAATTTGCAAAACAGTGATCTAGCAATCAAAAGTTGTTTGTATTACAGTGGGATAGAAATGAAACAAGTGAATAAAATTCCATGTAATAGATTATTAACATTAGATCTGGACTCAATACAATGAAAACGGCTGATTATTGCACAGAGTTTCAGGCAACAAACTTTCTAGAATTGCAAGCTTACTAAATTTTTGTTTTTGAAAAATTAGGTAGCGCCAGCTACAAATGCAGATGAATCTACAGAATCCGAGGTGGTAATTGATTCTCAGAAGCGGAGGGAGATACTTTCAAGGAGGCCTTCGTATCGGTAAGCTTTGCCCTAATACAAAAGTTTTTATGTTTGTTTATGCTGTTTCACTCTTTCATGGAATAGGTCAGCATCTTTAAACATATTTCTTTAAATATTTATTTATTTCTGGCAGAAAAATTCTGAATGAGCTTTCTTCTGATGCACCTGGCGTTGCTAAGATTGAAGAAGGAAAACCAGAGGAAGAAGGAGCACCTTCTGGAATTCCTGCCATGGCTGTGCCAACCAGCCTTTATCAAACTAGCACCGGGCAGTACAGTAGGTCTTCTGTAACATTAGCCTACCTGTTTAATAATCTATTGTTCTTAAAAGGAAAGTTACAATTTTGAAAAGCAATAAAATTAAGTGACAATTGATGGGGGGGGGGGAGAGAAAACTGTTCTTTTAAGCTATGGAACCTGGATGCAGTTTTTCTTGTTATTATTTATATTAATAATCTCTTAGATGGATTACTACTTAAATAGACTGATATGTAATATTCTTTTGGATTTTTTCCCCTCTTTTTACTGATTTTCCTTCATTTATTTAATTTTAGAACCTTTGGTCAGAGACTATGGAATGTAAGACATACGTACCTGTGTAGTTATCTCTCATAAAGACATATTTTTGACAGCCTTTTGTAATTAAAATGTAATTCTAAAACAGGCTAGAGACCCGTATTTTTCAAATGTGGCAACTTTTAAGAGGTATGAACTTCAACTTGCAGAATTCATACTGGCTGGGGAATTCTGGGAGTAGACATCTGCACATCTTAAAGTTGCCAAGCATTGCAAGTTTGTTTAAGGCTGAACTATTTAGGCTATAATAATTATGCAATTGAATGTATATTTGGAAAAACTGACCTAGTTTTTATAGCATGTTTTGGCTGTCAGATTTTTCTGTGAGTGTCTATAGAGTGTCCCTTTATAATCAGAAACTCAGCATTTCCTATCATATCATGTTTGTTACAAGATATTCCTCAACTTATGACCACAATTGGGTTGATCCTTAAGGGAGATGATTCTTAAATCACATCTGATTTTATAACCCATTTTTCCTCCAATTGTTAAAACAAATCATTGCAGTTGTTAAGTGAATCACATGTCATTAAGTGAACCTTGTTACAAATTCGATCTGAAATTAGCTTGTTGGAAGCTCATTGGGAAAATTGCAAATGATAATTAAATGATCTCAGCGCACTGCAACTGTTGTAAATACATGATGGTTATGCGGGGCGGGAACTTGCTGATGGCGGCAGCTTAACGAGCTGCCCCCAGGTTTCTGGTGGCGTTATCTGCCTAAATACCTGGTAGATACCTCATTCTTCAGGCAAAGAAGAGTGAGAGAGAGATCCAGCTGGTAAGAGCTTTTCTTTGAAGTTTGCAGCTTTTTTTTTTTGCTGCGAATGGAAGGGGGGGCCAACCAAAGGCTGAATCACATCTCCGTGCCAGAAACCCCGGCTGTATTTATTACGGCGCAAAGTAAGGATCCCCCCACTTAGGACAACTTTTGATATATTTATTTGAGATTAATACAAGCAGAGTCCGTACCTGAGAACTTTATCTGCCTTTTTTAAAATAAAAAAATCCTAGCTTCTTTTTACAAGAGCTTCCTTCGTGCACAGGTTTTGTTTTTTTCTTAAAAAATAAGCTCCTAAAATGGCGATTGTGCCACATTCCTAACTATCCGGCAAAGAACAGTGATAAAAAAGATCAAAGGAACAGCCAGCCAGCAATCTCTTACTAATTAGTCTCATTTCTCTGAAGAGCTTACAAGACTTTTTTCTTATCAACTTTTAAAAGTTTTAAAAGACTCCTTGTTAATAAACAAGGAGTTTTAAAAGACTCCTT